GTCATTATTATCAATGCATAACAATGTAACTGATGAAAATAATAATATCATTAATATTATTAATAATTATTATAATAGTAATATATCTTTATTGCTGTCATCATTAATGTCAGTTGCTACAATTAAAGTAATAGTAGTCGTCGGTACAATATTAATGCTAATACTATTAGTTTTGTTGCTGTAAAAAGGATAAATATATCACATATTTAGTCTCCTCCACCGAAATAATGATGAGTATCCTTCCAACCCAATTCAGTCCAATCCATATCATTCATTCAATTAATTAATTAATTGCTTATTTATTTATTTATTCGTTCATTCATTCATTTATCTATCTATCTATCTATCTATCTATTTTCTTTATACACCTATCCATCCAACAGCATCAATTATTAGATTTCCACTAATCTTTTCCATGCCTTAATTGATATTTTCAACGTGATAGAACTGGTTAAATATTGCTTAATTCATTTGCTGTATATCACAGAAAGGTCCACCAAACGATTTATTTTTCTGACAGTGAACGATGATAATTCTATAACGATTTGGCATTCGTATTATCTCTTAATATTGAACAATTATTCTTGATCTTATTCTTCGTAATATTATGTCTCTAGCAATCTCTATTATTTTTAACTGATTAATTTCGTAATAATTTGATTACCACGACATAAAATCTATGAAAGATAAATTGTCTCTATGAAAGCTTGCTATAAATGATTCTAAAAAATAATTCAGTCGAATGATCAATGTAATTTCTGAAGAACTTCACTCTATATCACTGATAGTAGATGAACAAAATATCTCATATCGTATTGTAAAGTGAAACACTACATATATGTCATGATCTATATTTCATGTTACTGTGCAAGTAATTAATCCTTGAATTTCATCGAGTTATTGTCTTGTACAGTAACTTGATTTATAATAGTCTGAAGATTTCATATCCGTTATAGTCCATATTTTTTCTAACGTCTTTTAGTTTGCAATTTTTAAAGTCTCTCAAGTGTATGACACAGCAGAAAAATACATTCTTTGCACTGATGTCACGAAATCAAAATTTTTGGTTAGTCATAAATTCTTCCTCCCTTCTGAAAATTGAGCAAATAACAAACATTGAAAGCTGAAAACAACCCAGTACTGAAAATTATACTTTCCTTATAGTAGTCAGGAATGCAGCGCTCCAAATCTTTGTGATAGAATTTTGCGAAGTACCAGAGATTTAGATGACTGTAACTTTATCAGCTTCAGTCTTTATGTAATCCATTTTTTTAGCTAAAATTTTTTTCTGCCTTATATGTTGTTACAGTTTATTTCTACTATTTCAAAAGATTTGATCTACATAAATTCCATCCAGTATCCATAAAATTCTTGTGTTTCTTAAATTGAATAAAGGCAGAATGAGATTTGAATTTTTCGTGTTACCATGTTAACAGGTAGCAACAACATAAACGATGACTAGTTATGATGACAAAAAGAAATAATGCAAAGCTTCGTTAAATCTATAATTTTTATATAAATTTTCAACAAATTTTCAGTCCCAATAGAAAGACAAACTGATTTTTTTTGCTACGATTTTGCATCAGCTTGAGTCACCAAATGGCGAATATTAACATCATGTTGAAGAAAGTGCAGAATTCAAGAACATAAAGCAGCCGCAATTCCAATTTATTTACGTCCTCGCGACACTGAAAGAATTTAAGTTCATGTTCTGAAACATTCACCATTATACTCTAGTTGTGAACTTCCAATTTTCACTCTCTGGGAATCAATTAGTAATAATGCAAAAAATGCCGTAGAGTTAGTAGATAACAGCTTAGCCTTCTCTGATCCCACGAAACTTAATTATCTTATGTCGTTCTGCATCCCAATTTCTACAAGACCCATTTCTATTAATATTTATGTATAGCTGAGTATTCCTTATTCCCAACTATAATTACAAATTCAGTAGTGTAGTGTGAGAAAGTACCCATGAACATCACATACAACACAGATAAAAAAGTCTACCAAGTTTAAATAACTTGCGAACAACACTGGTATATTTGATCTTGAATCCATTTATTTCTTAGAAGCCATAAATCAAATCCAATCCCACTACTTCAGCATGCAAACCAGGAGTTTTTATTTTTGGAAAGTAAGTATAAATAGCACCATCATCTATTGCAACATTTTAATGTTACTTGAAAATGCGTCATAATTCTGTTCTCTCCATTTCAGTAACTTTATGCAAAACGGTATATTGAATTAGACGACAGCTCTTTATTTATGATAACGTTTCATGTGCAAGAAAATGCATATAAAGTGCCCAAATAAACGTTTTGTGAGAAAGTTTGTACACCAAAAAGTACAGTTTCGACGAGATTTCATACTAACTGGTATATAAACATCTTTTCAAAATCTACACTTCTAGCATCCTCGACCAATTTTCTTTAAATCGAATAACAAAAATCATTGGGGAAATCGATAACCATCCTGAAACATAAAAATTCCAATTATCATTTGCTTACTGACGCACTTGCATTTGCAACTCATTTGCTTACTGACGCATTTGCAACTTCTTTAAACTCACTCCATCATTTCTTTTCCAATTCGTCTTCAGTCCTATGTTTTCCTCATTTCAATAATAACTTTCAGCAAAATGGCATACTGAACTGAATAACTGCTCCTTATTTATTATAAAGTTTCAAATTAAACTAATGATTTCAATACATGTAATGCTTATTGCTATGATTGGCGCATTTGAAACATTTTTAATTCTAGATTTTTGTATGAGGTCAATTTTTCACGAAACTTTACACTACACAAAACCATCTTTCATCAAAAATTCTTAATTTGAAGTACTTTCCAGGTTACTTAACAAATTTTAGCTAATGAAGTTATCAGAAACAGGTAATATTAAATAAGAGCTGCTAGTAAAGATCGAGATTTTTTGCCAGATTCGCGATTAGTTATTTAACACATTACATTCACTTTTATTTGCGCCAGTTTTGCTTACCTCATTTTCAGTCAGAAAAAATGTAGTTTTTTTTTTTTGTATAAACAAAATAAAAGAATTATTGAGCACAATTGTGAAAAAGAAATAGCAAATGATATTATTTGAAAAATAAGATAATAAATATAATATGAAAACATGAAATTGAGAAAAAAACGGAAAGTATATGGGGTAAGATCATATATGTGGATTTTCAATGACAAAATATTTTTTTCTCTACTTTAATATTAGAATAAGGAAAGCGTTAATCACAAATAACTAACACAAAGTGATATAATTAAACGAAATAACTCACTGAACCAAAGATATTTTACCCAATAAGTCTAAACAAGGATTTCACTGTTTTCCCAATAAACTGTGAATAAATCCATGCATTCTCAAACAAAGATAAAAATAATTAACGTTAACAAAATCTTCAACTGTTATCGACAAATTCAGTCTAATATGCTCTTATTTCTGAACTTGACTTCTGATGTAAACCTTTTCCAACTGTTTTGTGAGCTAAGAATTCACTTTTCTATTTTTACTGGTTTTAAAAGATCCAATGGAATTCTGTGTCTAGTGATATAATTCATTTGCAAAATTCATTTAAATTTACCAAACAAAGTTTAAATGCGTCAATAAATTGCCAATGCAATTCCTAGATATTATTAAACTTGAATGCCTTGAAATAAGATCGAAGTTTGTTTCCAAAATACCGGGACAAAGAGATGCAATTGGTGAAGTAATACTTCATTACATGCAAAAATTTACATATAATTGAACTTTTACAAACAGACTTTCGCAAAGCAACTTCCAGTATAAAATAAATTTACGTGTTCTGCTCGACGCAAACATGTAAGCAAAAATTAATCAACAAAAATCAGTAGGAAAATACCTTGAATTACCAGAGTATATGCGAAATATAGTGTCAAAATTATTTATAAATCATACCTGACGCAGAGTCCAAATGTTCCCTTGCTGAAACTAATGACTACTTTTTACAACAGAAAAGTCGGAAAAACACCACAAGGAACTCATATGTTAAGCTGTTCACTATCCAAAAGGCAAACTGCTTCAGGAAACTTAGAGTTTTTCACTTTGTTGTATGAGAGTTTCTTCATATCGAGCAGTAATACTAATAACCTATAACAAACACCACAATGGTACCGAAATATACATTTTCAATCAAATGAATTATGATTACTTGCATTGAATACTTCGCAAAAGTTACCGTATCTTCCGCAATTATTGCTAGTTTTTTAAGGTATATATAGCAAATTATAATATAAAAAACCAAACGTAAAAGAAGATTAGAAGCATAAATAAATAAGTTATAATTTTATATATTCACCTTTAATTACCTCTTTATAAACAAACATGCGAGAGACAGATTTACATAATATACCATACATACTTTTACAATATATATGCATTAAACATCGACGAATCCCTAACTATTCAATATCATAATGCTCACCAAAAAAGTAGTAATCCAAAAAGTATGAAAACTAGAAAGCAAACTCCGTTGCCGTTTGCTTGTGAATATGCTGACTTTGCTGAAACATGTAATTTATATAAATTATAAGGTTTTAATTTTTTACTTCTTTAGCTTAGTCTATAATAGTCTGAAGATTTCATAAGTAGACCAATTTACTTACCTCGTGACACAATAGAAAAAAATCTAGCTTTTTTTAATGTATAAAAAGGAAAATTATTCTGTGATTACAAGCTATTTTGAAAACTAGAGTAAAGGATTATTTCTAACTTCAAAGCAACAATTTCTTACAGTAGTTTACGACTATAGATTATAATTTGAATAGTAACAAGCGCGATACCAATAACAAGGCAATACAATATTCACGTGACGGAAGAGAAAGTTCCTAAGAAGTAAGATAAGCTTTAGCTAAAATAGCTATCGCGTTAATATGATAATCATCATCATTTTGCTAAATTAGCTACTCTTTTGCAAACAACGCAATTACCCAAAATAATTTAAAGAAAGTAAACCAGAGGGAAAAAAATTGAGAGTTACAGAATTTCATCAAGCTTGATAAGCACAAAAAAAAAGTGAATTAATTAAAAACAGGCACTAAAGTGAAACATCTCAAGAAATTTTTAAAAATCACTAACAACAGTAATTCTGAATGCATTTATTACAGAGAAAAAGTTTTAAATGTAAGCTTTCAGTAATAGAATAAAATTTCATCTTCTATTTTAAAATGTTCTGTATAATACCGGAAAAATTTAGCATTGTGTAACTATTATGATTTTTAATTCTTCTTCTTAGTTTCCACATATTTTCTCAATTCAAACTTTTTTGTGATACCTTTGTTATTCTTAATCACAAGTAAGATAAATAAAACATTCAAACAGGAAAACAAATATTTAACTAACTTTCAGGAGCTAAAGTCCGATAAGAAACTTCATATTTGTAGATTAGATCAAGCACTGCACCATTTGTCCAACCAAAACCTCGTTGCACAGGATATTCACCGCCTGAACCAGGCCTGCCGTCGTCATACCGAACATCATACTTTTCCCAGCATGCTGCTGGCTAAAAGCTAGAAGTTTTAAATAACATACTATTTGCACCATATAATTTATTACATCTGATGCAACGTAACAAAAATGTGGTACTGATATGTAAATCAAAACAATAAGTCATTGAAAAAAATAATCATGAAAATTGGTAATTGAAAATATTAGCAAAATAAATCATTTCAACGAAATCGTGAAGTCATATGAAGTAATAAATAACAAACAATGCCTTCCAATGGGTTAATCATTCCATTGTAAACAGTGCGAATAAATTTCCGAGCTACGTTTTCAGCTATTTTAACAAGTTTTTCATTTCTTGATGACCGCAAACTTTCCACAAACATATGTATTAAGGGTGGCCATCCGTTTGGGTAATCCCATTGCTCATGTGACTCATTACTTAAACTAACTGGAATGCCTCCTACAATATTAGTAAGTAAACTTCTAGAATGTTGGTAAGAAAACTTCATACTGATGAGTAAATAAAAATAATACTACATTAAAATTCCCATATATTTAAGGATAGCCTTCCAAACATATTGAACGTACCTTTAAATTTGAGTACTCCACTTCTCTTCAAGTAATTAAGCACATTCTGAGTTGTATTTGTACCATAATCACCAAGTAAAAGTGGGAAAATATTTGAGATGTAAAAGTTTCTTCTTAATGTTCCTTCTACCACATCAAAATCAAACCATGTGCCATCGCTATCACTCCAAAAAACTGCATCCAGTGCTTCGTGCAATTTCTTGTATTGATTACGATATTTAGCTGCTTTTCTTCAAGTAATGTTATCAATTTACATGCGTTAGAAAAAAAAATAGAGAAGTTTGTTGCTGCACAAAATATAAGTGTACCTTGGTTTTTCAAGTATTTCAAAAAAATTAGCAAGAGTAATAAAATTCCAAGCCATATATACGTTGAGATCAACAGGAACAATGTTGTTGGTTCGAATCGAAAACTTTGTACCTTAAAAATCAAAACAGTTTTTAACCATAAAGTAACTAACAATTATAAAAAAACGATAAAACTAACCGGAATGTTTTCCATGATGAGCAAACCACCTGGTGCTGAAATCGAATCCTGATTCACAAGCACTGGCAATCGAGGACCAAATAAATTCGGGATTTCCAGCCCCATTTAATCCATTATTTAGATCAACCAAGTAGTTTTCTGGACGAGGACAATTGGAGAGTGCCTTAACTTGTGTTTATTAAGTGCACAAAAAATTAATGTCAAAATAATATAATTAATGCCATATCAGGAAAAGCTTGGATCCTTCGTAAATTCTGTAATTAATTACTCTGTACTGATATAGTTGGTAAGTATGACCAGCCAGTTTAACATCAACTGTTCGATTCGCTTTCCACCACAGCATTTCCTGGTCCAACCATGGTGCCACCTCTTTCAAAAAAGTTTTATTAGCAGTAGCACTATAATAATCAGCTACCATCTGGGTAAACAATGGAGGATCACTTCTTCGTGACAGTCTATAACAACAGAAAATTTAATTTATGAAAATCAGTCTAATTCGTTTGAAAAAACAACTTTATTGGGTAATTTTGCTACCTTTCTACAGAGCTTCAAAACTTCATTCTCACTTGTAAAATACAAGAACTTACTGCACATTACCCGAATTAGGAATAAATCCATGAAACTTCACAATACTTGCCAAATTCTCAAGAGTATGGCGGACGGTCTCAGTCATGTTTGAAAATAACAACCCTGAAAAGTTGATTTCTGAAAACATTTCATAAAATAATAATTCCAAGTGTTAAGTTTGGTTTAAACAACTATAATTTGTATATATGCACTAGACAAAGTAAGATGAGAAGCATTAAATTTACACTGACTGCAAAACGCACAAGTGAACTGACTAATAATGATCAAGTCTTAGGCAAACCTTTATTGATCCAGTAAGAATCCCAATAATAATATAATTGAAATGAATCACCAGGTACAATAAAAGCATTTGAAACGGGTAAAACAGGAAACAAATCAGGACTTCGATGGACTTGTTCCACAAACTCTCGAGCAAACGATTTCCATAACGCATTTAGTTTCAGTGCAAAACTTCTTGAAACTAATTTCAAGACTTAGTTTTATTTAACAAACTCTATCCCTCTTCTATCAAAACTTGAATAATGTGGAAAATCTAACTTTAGAGATGGATTCCGTAGTTGCTTAATGTTTTCAGGTTCTTCAACCCAATCTATTAAAGTTGCCTGTTTCAAATAATTTACCATAGCAAAGTTGTCTTCACAAAATTTTTGAAACCGTTCACGCTTCAGTGGGTAAGTGAGGCTGAAAATTAAGACCATCAAAACATTGATTCACAATAAATCATCACATGATATAATTTGTTATGATGAAGATGTGGCAAATTTCAATGACACTATCTAAACGCCAAAAAAAACTTTCGCAATTATCTAGTTACAAAAACAATGAATCTTGTAACAACTTTACGGTGAATTCATAGTCTTACTTATCAAATTCTTCTAATATTGATTTTGAAGGTCGAAGCATCATATCGCCGGGACATGTTCCTTGAGTTCCGAATATCCAAGCAATATGAATTAGTCTACCAGAACAATAAATTTGCGATAGTGGACCAGTACAAATTGGTTGAGAACAATTTGGTGCAATCGGCTCATTTACCGCCAACAATACTTCATAATCCTGTAAAATACGATTTATATCAACCTTTTCGTTTATTCATCAGCTAAATAAAAAAAGTGTGCCAACAACTTACAGAGCCATTACGTTTGTTCAATGAAACCCTGGAAGCAGCGTGAGTTTTAAACAGCGTATGCAATACACACATAAACATTATGCGTACAATATTCCTCATTTTCATCTAAAATACCTAAAATTACTAATGTAGCTAAGAAATTTATATCAACATTCAGCTATTACATCTTTCAAGTAACAAAAATGAGTACTTGAGATACCAACAAGTACGAGAGCAGATGAACTTGGCGGAAAGAATAAATTATTTGAAAAGCTACTCGTTCATCGAATTTACAACTGCAGCTGTGTAAAGTCAGTGGATTGGTTCGATAATCTGCATAAGTTATAGTTTGGAAATATCTGGAATTCACATAATGTGTTGCAGAGTTTTCTAAACGTGGTTTTTTAGATGGCATGTTCATATCAACATAACCGTTGCTTGTATAATGAACAAATAGGCAACTAGCAGTTCGGAAGACTGAAGTGTCAAAATTATCAGTAGAGAACATTTTATTACCACCAGTTCTGAAAACTGAATAATTCCGAAGATGCAATTTCCAATAATTCTTTTGTAAAGTGAACATATTTTTGGAAATATGAGATTGAATTTTTGTTTTTGCTTGTCAGAAAAAAGAAGCGACAATTCAACAACTTTAATGCATCCACGATGTTGGCAAACAATAAGAATGAACAGTAGTTAGCGATTAGAGCTCAATTAATAAATTAAAACTCCAAAGAATTTCAGAATGTCAGGAACACAGAGATATAACAATATGCACTCGATGATATACATTGTTTATAAGTTTGGAATATGTATGGTAAAAACGAGAAAATAAGGGTACCAATTTGTTCGTAAATGCTAATCACGAAAGTTGTGGAGGATGATGGGTTTATTCCAAGCGTTTACTTATATATATATATATATATATATATATAAAGTCCACTGAGTCATTCTCACTGTCGCTAATGAGATTTCCTCCAGCAGTTAGACTTTCGGAAGGAAATGAAAAACATAATTTTTTTGCATTTGCTCCAACAACCACATAATTGAACTTCATGATCTATGCTTACGTAATCTAAATTAGTCAGTACGTTGATGACAGTAATTCCGGAACCCTAATTTAGTTTCTTTCATCGAAAATTTCTATTTCTCACTTTTAACTGCTAAAAACGATAAATAAAACAAGATGCTAATAGACCGTTCAAACTTTCTAGTCAACATAATATTTCATAAATCATACAAAAACTTCAATTTGAAGTAAAGCTTCTCTGAGCCACAGCTGTTTCAAAAGAAAATTTATATTATTATAACGGCAATTTTTCCTTCTTCAGGGAATTACAACCCCATATGACAATAAACGCAGATAAAACCAAGCATACAAAGGAGACTGATACGACAGATGAAATGAACCAGATCTCAGACATGCATACCAAATCGAATTCTTTCGAGAAAGAGCTGAAATGGGAATTAAGGAATAATTAACTGGTTGCATAATCAAAAAGCAGTGCTAACATGATATATTTGTGAATGATTACATTATAAATTGACAAATTTACGGAGTGTAGTTATTTCAAAGCTTACCTATTTGCAAAAGTAGCATTGTGCAAAGCGTATTCTTCTTCTTCTTCACCTTTAGCAAGAACTCGTATTATTGCAGAGAGCGTTCCTTCTGTTTGCTCACTGCTTGTAATACTTCGTTTTCGTCGTCCATTTGACACAAAGAGCTCATTTGTTCCGGAATCCAAGCAGTTACTCTAAGACAATAATATCGAGTATCATAATCTACTTAATTGAAAAGTTATTAAAATTCTGGAAAACCAAAAACTTATAACTGAAAAACAAATTCAAAAATTTTTGATAATCAATAATTCATCAACCCATCAATGAACTAGATCATCAATACCATTTAGCTTTCCTCACCTCCTCATAACTTTTCATTTTGTATCGTTTTGAAGACATTATTTTGATTTCTTTAGAAGCACAAAATATTTTCATTAAATTAGCAGCTATTTTTAAAGACTTTTCGTGAATCAAAAGTAGAATTGTTTTTACTAAATTTTAGAGTGATACTGATTTTCTTTTATCACTGGTAAAATTATATGTGATAAAACTGACCGGTGGGCATCCACTAGGTCCAGCACAAAACATTACTTGACATAGGATTTGAACATCGTAAGAACCATCCAACCGAAATGCTTTCATGTCACATTTAAGGCGATTTTTATCAAAATCTTGCTCGACAGGACCAACTAGAGCTGGATAACGCGGACAACTGAATGAATATTGCATGGAAATATTTTTATATTTTTAAGGAAATCAAATAACGTGCAAGATGATACAAGAAATTATGTATATCTTAAGTTTAGTAATATATGCAGTGAACGTTTCATAGGAATCTTGTTAATTCGCAGAATGCTGCTTTTAGTAAATTTGCCCCAAATCAGCATGTAATTAAGTATGACCTACGATCACTTCTAGTAGTCCTTTGCAACAAATGAACACTAACCCATTTTCAATGATTGTAAAAGGTACAATATCACCCTCGCCACCAACTCGTGTAGCTTTGCATTCGGTTAGCATCATATTATGAGGACCAGCTTGTTCTGATGAAACAACCATCTGAATTGCATCTCCAATTGAAGCCTTTTCCAAGGGTTGATCATCGACACCAAGAAAAGACAACGTTGCGGTAACTGGTGGCGGAGTTCCAACCGCAAGAATGCGTGTATTTGCTTCTCTATAAGATACGAACAAAGAAAATGCATCAGATCTAATTTAACTCATTGCTATATATTTTCATGGCATTTATCATTAATTTTTTAGATACTTTCCATAGTCTGTAGAATCTAAAATTAGCACCATATTAGGAAAAAAATATAGAAAAAGTAGCTATAACATTGTATCAAAATTTACCCAGCGTCATAAATTGTTGTAACGACCACAGAACCTTCATGCATCATCTTCCCCATGGATATATCACAGGAGACGCGATAGAAGCGATCCCATTCAGTGGTAACCTGGTGCGGTAGCACACCATCCAATGATACAACAACTAATGCTTCCAATTTGCCATCCTCAAAAATTTACTGAGTAGTCAGCTTACCTTTGCGAATATTGTCATAAACTGCTTATGCTCTCAGCTGCAAGAAATTAAAAGTGATGGAATTCATAAGTGCACATTTTTTATGATAAAACTTTGTAATTACCTTTATAACAGTACCACAATCAGCTGAAACTGTAGGCGGTGGAAAATTGATAGAGATTTGCTTAGCGTTTTCAACAACTTGAGAACAGGTGCTAAATCGTTCAGCAGCATAAATAGCTCCTGTGTATGGTTCTTTAGTATTTACAATGAAACGAATTCCCTCATTTGTGCATAAAGCCATACCACCGAATTGTGATTCTGCAAAACCATTCGTTCATTACCTCATGCATAAGTTGATTTTCACTTCCTTCTTCATTTTTTAATAATTGCAAAGCTTTCTATGAGTGTGAACTACGATATAAAAAAGCAATGAAAAAGCTTATCAACTGATTCAATTGCTTGTAATTAAAAATTCTTGATTTTTATTTCATTCATAAATAACTTTCAACAGGAACTTTTGTTAAAACTATGTTCTGAACATATAATCAATAACTTCTATTTCACTAATTCCTGAAACAATTTTTTCAATTTTTATATTTTAAATAATAAAAGTCTCTATTTAAAAAATGTTATACAAAAATTCAGATACAGTTTTGCTCTCTTTTTTTTCAATCAGAAATTATACCAAGTAGCTTGAATATAATATTAAAAATGAAGCTAAGTAATGATCAGCTACAGTGCAACAGTTTTGAAAAAATCCGAAATTTGGCGCATTGTGTGTCAAGAAAGAGTGTTGAAATGAAAATTTACACTCATTCTTGGTTCATCACACACAAATATTATATTCTTCCGACATTTCTAAATTTTAAGTCTAAATTACTAACTTCGTTTTAATATACCTATTAATTATCAGAGCCACATTTTTTATATCTCTTGTCAAACACATTTTCTGCAATACTTATTCACGATAGTTTAAAATGTTTGAAACATTACTCACCACAATTAAATTCATAGAAATCGACTGCCGAATTCGATTTAACATTGGCGTCTGAACGTCCTATGGAAAATACATAGCAAGTCATTTGTGTGCGATCATAATTAATGCTTTTGCAATTCAAATTTTGAAAGCATAACGATATGCAATCTGATAACGTAACGCCTTGAGCAGAAGCAACTGGTTGACCTTCTATTTGACTACCGATGAAACGCTCAAAAGCAGCTTGTTGACGACAAGTTGAAGAACTCAAATCAGCTATAATTTACCAAGATCATTTCCTTTAACCTCCCAACTGTGTCATCGCAACTTAATTTTCTTTAATGTGCAGTATGTTGCGAAGACAATGTTACTATTCAAACAGAATTCTTGTGAAATTTGACTTGAAAAAAAAAACTCTGAATATGTCAATAAATTAATTTAATTGACAAAATGTCAAATGCATACAACTTACCTGCTACACAAACAGGTTCGTAATAATCCTTGCTTTGTATATGACCTTGCTGATCTGCTCTGGAGAATGTATCTTCATCGCTCACGATACAGTTCTTTTCAGATGGGCTGAATTCGACAGAACGACAAAATGTATTTAATGAATCCAAACATTTTTGGAGACAAAATGATTCTTGTGCTTCAACTGATTGGGTATGATCATAAAAATGTATTTCAAAGTTCGTAGTTTTCACGAAAACTAGGTTACCACCTGCCTCACCACATCGATTTTGACCTAAAAAAAGATAATATCAAAATCAGTTTTCGTTCTTTATTCTTTTGAATTCTTTCTATATCGTCAAATTATAAATACTATACGCAAAAAGATGAAATGCAAGAGCACCATTTCTCATCATGTTTTGATAAGTAATGCAAACGTGGATAATACATGGTTTTCAGTCAGATGATGATAACTTTTATCAAACGGAAAACATTCACAGAAATTAGAGCTTTTCCAAATTTTCGTACAGAAAAAAACCTCAAAATATTTTTTTATAAGATGTTATTAGAGACTCTGAAAGCATAACTCAATATATAGAATGATTAAATTCTTTTTTTCCAGCGAAGGACAATTAAATTCTTTTTAAAACAATTTTTTTTAATATCAACCAATTATGTATGAATCAAAAACCACGTAAATCATAGTGTTCTTTAAGCACAGGATTTTTCCCTTACATCAAAGTATTCCAGAATTTCGTAATATTATCAAGAAGTCAACTACAAAAATGGAATAATAATTTCATAAAAATTACGCGACAGACAATTATTGTCGTAATAATCAACTGGTGAGTCGCTGTGCCGCAAATGATTGGGCTTGGAACGTCGGTCTTCTGTCGACAATTCGCACAAATATGTGTCGTAATTGTAATTCACAGAACGGCAAACAAATTCATTTTCTTTGAGACAAGCTGACAAGCATTGTTCTCGAGATCCCACCTCAAAAATATCATATGAATAACACTATATACAACTCGTTAATATCTAATTTAAGTGACCTGATTAAGTGATTGACATTCATTATTGAAGCTTCTCAAATCACAGCTTTCATCTAAGAGAGGAAATGAGAGATTTCAACATATAAAAAATTAGTATAATTAAATCTTTAATGTCCAGCAGCTTGCTATCTCATGAAATTTCTTTATTTGGATTCGTATTGCCAGTGATTGCTTATTTATTTTATAGGTATTAAAAATGAATGAATAATTAAATAATATAGACATAGTCGTTGCACGCTGTCCTCTTTATAACCATTGATCTGCTGACACAAAACGCTGACCACGATATAAAATGAATGTTGAGAGGAAAATAATAGCAACAGTGATCAAATAAAATGAAAAGACAGTAGTGAATAGTAATTACAGTACATGTTAATTTGAAAATGAAATATAAATTACTTGTTATTTTAGAAATATAAATAATTAAATATTGTGAGTTATGAAGACACTGGGAAGAAATTTTTTGTTTTAAATACTGACTGATATGTAATGATGAATGCTAAATAATACAGAGGGGCTAAATCTACAAGTTTATGAATAACTTGATTAGGAATCAATGATGGAATCCATCAATTATTCTATACTGAATCATGTAATATTTCCTCACAGTTTTTATAGTACTGGTATTGGTAAAATAAATTGGAGTATTTGTTTAGAGAAGTTACCTGAACGGATTTGCGTACAAATCCTTCCAGAGCTGTTTTTCGCATACGTTCAAATGAAAATGACCGATATGTGCATGCTTCGTGCGCACTTACACCAGGGATGCAAGTCTTTTCATAGTAAAAATTATTTGCTGAAGGATTTGGTGCTAAATCAGCGGTGCCAGCTGGACTAGCAGCATCATCGAAAAAATAACATGTTTCACGACCATCAAAATTGAAAGAGGCACAAACTCGTTGAGCCCCGGTTGTTGGCTCTATATTATTACGGCAGTACTGAGCACATGTAAGGTCGTGTCCAGCGGTGGACACCACAACTGGAGTTCCAGTAAGACGTGCACGAGCCAAACGCACGAATGCTGTTGTTTCATGGCTTCCACATTCAAAGACAGCCCAATTCACCCTCACGTAGAACGTAACTAATAATAGAAGAGTTGAGAGTAGCATTGCTTATAACTACCTGAAATAATCGTTTCTTCTACGAGTGAAGTTATCGCGTTCGAACACTTCTATTTGCCAGTGCTATTTATAGCAAAAAAGATCTGTTCAAGCTTATTATTTCTGCTAATACTACTACTGACTTGTGATGAAGGGAATGATTTTCGCTACTTCTGATATTGTTTAGATAAAAAGTGCCATTTGCGTTAGGCTATGACTCTACAAAGTACGTACAGTTCGCATCCAACAAGTCAGCAAACACCAACGTGTGAGTACTCGTTTGCTCCGGTTTAGTCACTCCTCCTTGACCTCCTTCCCGTCCCGTGAGCGGTCGTTCACCGGCCTAAATTTCTTTACATCTTTATACACATACCGAACCATTATCATCATCACCAGCATCACCATGTCACTAACTATAATCAATGTATCTTTCACTCATTGCCATTTCTATCATGTTCATTCTCTACAATATTGCTGTACTATTTTTGTTTCTTGCGTATTCCCGGGTGACGGCAATGTTTCATTTCTTTCTTGAAATGTCTTCATTATTCATCACTGAATCGTCGAGCATTTACATTATTACAGCAAACAATACTACCATGCTTTAGCTAAATCACTTGATAGATAATATGAGAACGTGCATTTATACTCATTTATCTATTTGAAGTAAGAGGAACTATCTCGGCTTTGCCGATCAAACAGCTATACCTTACGGTCTTAAAAAAAACTCCAGAATGAATGCAAAATTTGATCTGGTGGGCCTACTAAATAATCATGCTGGAGAACATTACTAAAGAACAAAAAAAAACCCACCGACATCTTGATGTATTGCACATATTTACAGCAAAGAATATCATGTTGAAAATGAAATAATCAAGCATGCTATATGCAAAATGATTTTTTCGTTATGAAGAGTATCTTCAATGCATGAAATCAGTCCGCTAATTCTGTAGATATGCAGGGAGTAGAGTGAAAGATATGAAACCTTCGAAACTTAATGAAGATATTGCTAAACAACGTTGCAATCTATCAACAATGAAACATGAACTTCAGTACACTTTATCAAAGCACATTTTTGGTAAGGAGTGATTTCGACATGAAATGCTTCAGATGAACTTTTATTCCAATACATTCGTTAACAGACAGCAAATAGTTATCTGTGTACTTAATGAGAATCCGATAGTTGCAAAATTATGCCATCAACATCGTTTTTCTCTCTTTATCTTTCTCGTTCTGTTCCATGAGCTACTTCATATGTAACGGGCACCAAACGTCCTTGACCAGAAAAATAACGACACGAGATGGAGTATGCCTATATATAACAAGTGTTTTACATTTATTACCTCTTCAATGAATGGCACATCTCTCATCATCAAATCTGTAAACAAAAGTGATACATCTGACAGTCTCATTGCTTGCAGAATTTGTTTCTTCACTAAGGGGTACACATGGGTGATTACTGTTCTAGCAACTGAAAACAGTGTTTGCGGTGTCTATTATAAAAATTAGACAACTGAAAGTCTTTCATGGCAAATCCAATCAGTTTTTTGTCTTGAAAAGTATCTTCACTCCATGAAATTAATCCGCTAAATCGATATGTACCGATCATCCAAGCTCAATTGATTAGTTTACAGTGAAGAGTGAAAGATATGAAACCTCCGAAACTTACAATATTGTTATGAATGAAAATATTGCTAAACAACGTTGCAATTCATCAAACAATGAAACATAAACTTTATCAAAGCACATTTTTGGAAAGGAGTGGTTCCGACACGAAGCTACGAATCAATTGTCACAATTATGTGGAATATTATATTGCATCTAAATCCGGACATAGAGGAATACCATGATGCAATCCCATACATGTTCATATACAGCAACCTGGCAGCAATTCACATTTAAAAAATATATTCGCATATGACAGGAAATCCCTCTTGAATGCAATTCATTTCAATTTCAATACGACCAGAAGATTAGAAACGACGCACATTAATCACCTCAAGATGAATATAGGGCGTATAATCAAAAACAGCTATTTCAAAATAGTAATCCAGACGATCGTTATGGGTCTCATCCCCATCAGATATCCCCGAGTGGAAAATGTGATCTAGATGTTCAGATCTCACAATAAAATAAGTGTGCCTTCACACAAGACTTACGAGAACTTTTTTAATTTCATACTCCATACATGATATTCAGCAATGAAAAATGAATATAAAATACAAAAAGGCATATTACATACAAAGTGCTTCTTCATAATCACCAGACGTTGGATAAAGCTGCTCTACACTTCCTGCTAGAACACATAAAAGTACATAGGCGAGATATAAATACGATATAGATGAGACTGACAGTGCAATCACGACCCAATCCCGAAGTATCAGTTAGAATAAGACGCTCAGGAACGTTAAAATGCAATAACTAGCTTAACATACCAGGTGATATTCCCATTAATATCTAAATCACTACTGAGACATAACTGCAGACAATGCTATCTTCTCCCTAATAACCTTTACTAGAAGTTCTGCATTTTCACTAATGCTTACAGATTTATAGCTCAAACACACTGTATAGAAAAAGTTAATGGAAGCACAACAGTAAGCACTATGAAGCCATTTTATCCTGTAAACAACCTATGTTTATGATTAGTATTGACTCGATAAGCTGTCTAACTGAATGTTTCTATATAAATCTGCTAGCAAAGAAAATAAACATGACTGAAAAAAACACCACAGAGAAGCATACTTAAAAAGCAATAGATGAAATATTGTGAACAATTTCTGGAGAGCAACCATTCAAATCCAAAACATTTCTTCTGTAAACTTAAAAATAAAGCCTGTAACCTTTCAGAAGCTTGAATCATTTCATTTTATGGACTACAGAAAAAAATTCTTGAAAGGTGGCACGGGCAATTATCTAAAAAAATCATAATTTCCATGCCTTGAACAGCATGCATAGCTCCTTATGAAAAAAACTGGTTACACCTTACAAAACTAACAATTTATATGACAAATGCGAAGTTCATTCGATTATAACTTAATTCATAACATAACAGCACATAATAATTATCCAACAAACATCAAGGAGAACTGAAATGCATTCGTCTTGAACAGCTTTTTCTTAGCTCTTTTTCTGGAGAGAATAACGAATAATAAAAAATCGACCTATGCAAAGTACACACCTGATGATTTTCAAAATGTTCCACCTATGTTACGAAAATTATAAATAAAACGAATGAGTAATCGGATCAAATCCACATGCGTACAAATAATGACAGTATAAATAACTTTAAATCCATGCTTAAAGATTCAATAAAACAGCAGTACATGAGTTCCTAAAATAAACCACACTGTCGTAGGTTCTCTTTGATAATGATGTCAGTTACAGCATCAAAAACAAAACGTATATTGTTTGTATCTGTGGCACACGTGAAATGAGTATAAATTTCTTTTTGACCATCCTTGCGTTTATTTAAATTTTCAAACTGTAATTGTATGTAAGCAGCAGCCTCTTCATACGTGTTTGTACCTGTATTAAGTAATGACAGCATAAATAACTTCAATTAAATATACGCTTGAGGGCACAATAAAAACTGAAGAATAAATTTGTGCGGGCAGTTTTTTACATTAAAATTCTTATTCCAAAAATTTTTGCTAATTAAATATTACTCAGAAACGAACTAAATCGATCATTTAATGCAATAAGCTAAATATATATAAAGAACAAACCAATATATTCTGGAAAGCATAACGTTAAAGGTGATTTTCTGATTTTTTCTTCGAAAAGATCTTTCTTGTTTAAAAATAATATTATGGATGTGTCCGTAAACCATTTATTGTTGCATATTGAGTCAAATAGTTTCATGCTTTCGACCATCCGATTCTACAAACATGACAGATGTAGGAAAATCACTTCGATAACTAAGACTAAAAATTTACAACGAAAAGAAATTGGAAATAAATAAATGCTTTTGACGAACTAATAACTTTTGGAAAAAATTTCACAAGCCTTAAAATATTACTCCTCCATTATTAGCTTTGCTCAGTCAAAACATATTAAAACATTTTCAAGCCCAACGTAACTTTATCAATTAAAGTTACGAAAAAAAAATCAGGAATTTTATATGAAACAGCTGATGAGACCCACCGACATAAGGAAAGTTGAGTATAATAAGTCAGTCAATACACGACTTATTATACTTGAATTAGAAACTACAGAAAATACTATCTAACCATCTCATCATCTTCCGCCAACCTCATATCGTACTCAGACATCGCAACACAAAATATAATAGCTGTCACACCTTCAAAACAATGAATCCATTTTTTACGTTCCGAACGCTGCCCTCCAACATCGAACATTCTAAAAATATTTTACAAAAGACAACCAAAAAATATGTAGACTAAAAAATTTTTGACTTTCACAATCTGACATTACTGTAGTAGACAGTGTCTTAAGTACAGTTTGGTAGCTTACTTGAAATGCAAATCCTTGTATGTAAAATGAGTTTCAACTATTCCTGTTGTTTTTACACGCGTCCTCAAAACATCATCTTGCGTTGGTACGTAACCAGGTTGTGCTATCCTTAAGAAATAGAAGACGGAGAACTAAACTTGATAATTTTTTTTTCGAAAACTAAACTTATGCTAACAACCACAGAATGTGGTAAAAGAGATCATAATGTTCACGTAAGTCTCAATACTCAGTTGATCCAGGGAAAATTAAAAACTGATTTGTTCTAGCACGCAAAGAAAGATAGAGAAACATACCTATCCAAATAATTCAAATAATATGGAGCAGAATCATTGAGCTGATATTCCCTGGAGCGCATAAAACATTCCTGGACTCCTGGATCTGTCCACAAACGTTTCATACAAACAGCTAACTCAGGCGGTAACTCCCCTTCATCACAACTCTGTGCCAGCATAAAAAATTGGCGAGCATCCTCATTTCGTATGGGCACTGCGAAATCTATCTAGAACATGATACATTACGCCAACAACAGTTAAAGTTTAGTAAATAGTATTAAATTTGAAGAATATAAAACAGTCTAAAACTTTGCTAATATCATCGATGTCAGTAATTTTTATAGAATAATCAAAGCATTATAATCACAAACACTAACTTTCAGTTGTCCCATAGCTCGTATTATCGCCATCATACTTTGTATAGTATTTGAATAAACTACAGGTCTGTAAGCCTTTCGTTCTTCATCGCTATAACCAGTTTCATGAATGATCTTCATTTGCTTTACAATAGTGCTTTTCCCAGACTCTCCTGCCCCTAACAACAATAATTTAACTTCTCTGGACGCTCGTTCTCCATCAGCCTTCAACTAAAAATCAGAAATAATAAGATATTGAATTTATAGTGAATAGTACAAATCTTGATGAGCAGTGTTAACTGACTCTGGTCAAACAAATAATACGACAACCAAAAAATAATACTTGTTCATCGATTTGTTTCGATCTTGCTTTGGCGTTTTGATCAGTACTATTGACACAACCCATTGTTTACAGCTATGATTTGAAATCAGTATATGACGTGAAGGTATCGTAAGCAGAAAAACATACCGATACTCTTTTCCTAGAAGAATTAGCAAATTTCTATAACTTCAAACAATACAAATACTTAACCGTTACAGGTTCTTCAGACAAATAGGGTGCCAAAGCCATAGTGCATACAGTAACTTAAACAGCAAGTACTGAATATGTTTCACTCTACTAATAAACATGGCTAGCCAACGATAAACAAGATAGTTATCAATCATAACAACAATTTTAATCCCCAACAAGTAAAGTAGCAGAATATTATTCTAGAAATGAAAACTACTATTGACCGATGCAAAGAAGGAACTGAATGAGATCTAGAAAAAAAAACAAAACTGAGACGAACAAGAAAAAGCATTACTCTTTTCAACATAAGTTTCCAGTCCAAATTTAGATCTGATGAATTTTCAACCGGAAGCAAATGTGAATAAAAAACCTGTCTTTGCCTGCTTTTGTTTGTTCCTATCTATTATTACCACTGAACATCATAACTGCTACTAATACCAATCGCAATATTGCTACAGTTATCAGCAAAAACAAAGAGCTCTAATCATACAAACTACCCACTTAATTCTTAGGGAAAAAAAACCACTGCAAATACGAAGTACGTAAATGTGAGATACTGCTTGGTGAAACAAAGTCGTACTCTACAATATCTTCAACCAAGTTCATCTTCACGACCCTACTCAACTAATCGTCCTCAATGCAAACATTTGCATAACATCGCAAAAAATTCGCCTGCACACGGTTTATAAACCCTGAAAACCAGTTTCGTCAGCAATTAAACAATCTACTTCAGCTTAAATAACTATGACGATAGCTCAATGAAAATCTACGTTTCAGTAATCTCCATTGTCGTTTCCCCATATTTCAAGAACTTCGTAGCACTTGTTATCCTCATTTGCCTTACCGATTGAGAAATGCAATTACCGTATGTTACTTAAAACAAAATGTGGACGTCGAGTCCACGATCCTGATCGAATGAGATGCTTTCAAGTGTCTTGTTGAGCACTATCGATTAGATATATGCCTCGACATGATCAGATATACCGATTTCCTTCGCGTAGCGTTCGTGGAACTTCGTCGCTATCCCATCCCAAGTCAAAAAAATTACATACGGAATTATTTTCGTTCTGCATTTCATCTCTGCCCCGAGTTTAATACCCAGTAAATCATGCGTTCATTGCTTCTCGGTTCCTACTGCTATCAACCTGTCCTGACTAGTGATGCCAACCTCTCTCAGGAGTACCTCGTGTCGGTTTTGTCCTATGTCAGAATATCCGGTCAATCCACCCCTATTCTAATCGCAGTTACTCTTGTCCGTGATTAACTGAATCAAACGCTCTTTTTATGTCATACCACGTAGTGTAAAGCTGGTTCCTGTGCTCTTTGCAAACCGCCAGGTTCAACATTGCTTGTTCCTTCGCATCTTGAACCTGGGTAATAGATTCTAATTGATTGTCTGCAAGCAGCTTTCTCATGGCAACATCCAACTGCATGACGCGTGCCGCACATCTCGTTTTCAACTTGTAAAGGTTCGACATACGAGTTATTGGCCTGAAGTTGCTGCCTTAACTTGGGACACCTTTTGGAATCAGGTAAGTAGTACCTTTATAGAACCACGGAT